GTAGAAAACCCTAACTCTGTGTTGTATTTAATCAGTACTAACTATAAATTTCTTCATGTTTCTGCATCCTTGGTAAATCTTTTCCACGACAGTGTTCAATACTTTTTCCCTGTGCCATTCCACATTATTACAAATAACTTCATTTCTAGACATTTATGGTTTGATTTCTTTGTATGTATGGATCACTTGGGTTGTTATCGACATCTGGTAAAAAATTTCATGTCATTAGCACCTCTAGTAATATATTTACTGAGAAAAATGGTGACGTGTTCAATACTTATTTTACCCGCTGTATCCTTAGTGATACCGTGTACTGACTTTCAATCATTCTTGTAGCCTAACCCTGACCCTAACCCCACCTCCATTCATACCTTAACCCTAAACCTAACTCCCCATATTAAGACTGGTCCTGACAGTGTAGTGTTTATACCAGAAATGGTGCCAAAAAGGTAACACATTCACACAGTTGTGAGCACAGACCTCTGAAGTGTAGCGTGTTGTTTTCTTGAAGACTGATGTTGACATTCTGAAAAGCAAAATGAAAAGAGGTTCATCAAAAAAAAAAAAAAAACAATGAACTAAACCATCAGATGGAAATTAAAGAATAATAAGTTTTGATTCGTTCAACATTTTGTATTTTCAAGAGTATCTTGCTGTAGTTTTTTAAAGCTAAGATTGAATATCCCATCATTTACAGATTATATCACCAAATTTCAAGAATCTGGAGAAATTTCTGTGTGAAGAACAAAAGTGAAGGTCAGTACTGGACACTCGTAAGCCTCAGGCTCTGAGGTGGCACTGCATGAAAAACAGGTCTGACTCCATTCTGGACAGGACTACATGAGATCAGGACTCAGGTCCCTGTCTGTAAACACAGCTCAGTCTGACTCTATCATGCAAGAAGCCAATGACAACACCATTTAGAAACACTGCTGTCCTCTTTGGAGCTCATTTAGGATGAACTGAGACACAGAGGAAAACTGATCTGAAAAAACAAAACCCCCTCTTGGCAGCCATGGACATCATGTCTGTGCTGCAGAGGAGAGGGACCATTTCGCCTGCGTCTCTGATGATATGGGGGTGCATTAGTGCCTATGTTGTAGGCAGCTTACGCCTGGAAAGATGTACATGTTTTAGAACAGATGCGCCCATCCAGGTTTTTTCTTTTGAACAAGGCCTTTGAGGAAGACAATGCTAAACCAGACTGAATCCATGACAACAATGTGGATCTGCAGCAGAAAAGACCAGGACCAAGACCTAGTCCAAACCTCCCAACTGGTCTCCTCAGTTCCTGAACTTTTAGAGGGGAGACTTCAAAATGAGGTTTACTGTGTTCTATTGTAACTAAATTACCAGTTTGTTACATTTGCAAACCATTTTACTCTGGTTTAATTTACATTTAACAGGAGTTCTTTGGAATCAGGTTGCAGTTTGAGTTCAGTTTGGCTTTATTTACATAAAAGACTGTGGTGTAGGTCAGCAGCTGGTTTCCTGTTAGCCTGTCACTAAAATCGAACAAGATCCAGAACGACCATCAAGGTCCATGCATCTTTTATACGATTTGTATCCAACAGATGCAGGATGAGGGTCTTTGGTAACCTGCATCTTATTTTCTGGGTATTTTGTTTAAACACACTCAGTCACTGTGAATGAACAGGGTTGAGTCCACAGAGTGTAGRCTCTCCTGATGCTTGGATGGATGACAGCTGGAAGGTGTAAATGAGGTGGTAGCTTGTTCCTTTGATGAGCGAATGTGTTTCCTGTAAAGCCACATAAATATTAGATGACTGAGTGTCTAACAGGACAACACGAAGCTGCTGGATAAACTGGTTTATGCAAAACTAAACAGGAGCAGCAGCCAGTTTTATGCAAAATGCATCAGGATGTTTGCTCCAACAACGAACTCATTTTTACTATGCTCTTTTCTAACATATCACATTTAGTAATGTTAGTTACTGTGGCTGTTTTAACCAATTACTAAAGTTTATTAGCAACAAAAGAAGTCAGTTTGTTCAAACACAAATAATTTAAAAGCATAAATTTTGAGAATGATCTAGTTTTTGTTTCCCAATTAGGAGCTTAACATTAGATAAACTCATTAAATAAATTGGTCAGTTGAACATTATTAGCCCAGAAAATTAACACCTAAATTTTAATACTTTTATGAATCTAATTTACTATAATTATATAAGAGAGGAGCTACAGAAACATTTAATATTAATCACTAAATTTTGCTATAAGATCCTAAATCTTCCTACATTTAAACTTTTATGAGCTCAGGACAAATGTGGATTAAAAACCAAAGCTGTTTGTCAGTAAAACTAAAACTGTTCCGAGTTTAATTTAGCCCGAGTTACTGAAGGTAAACATCACGAGTAGTTTGGAGCTAATAGCATTACCTAGCTAACGCTGTCGGTAAAGGAAAAAATAAACACATTTTATGTTCTGACTGATTTTCTGTGCAGTGCTTAAAAGAGCAGATTTGTGTTTTTAAAAAGCTGAGAAGGACAGCTGGCTCATGATGGAGGAGGTGGATGGATGGATGTTCTCCTACCTTTGCATCGCTCAGCTCCACCCGGAGATAAATCTCTCGGTGCCGCTGAGCCCAGTACACATGAGGAGTCAGCACCTGCGTGTTGGAGCTCAGCTCGGCCATATTTACACACCAGCAAGGCTGAGGAGCTTCACAGGAACTAAAGAATCAAGTCCTCATCGATGATGTCCAACAAAACCAGACCTTCACCGTTTCTACCATAGACATGTATAAAGAATAGATGTCCCATGGTCCGCTGTTGCCTATTGGTGCTGACGAGCCGTAAGGGCCGCCATCTTGGAACGGTCACCCCGCAATGAATTATCCATCCATCCATCCATCCATCCATCCATCCATCCATCCATCCATCCATCCATCCATCCATCCATCCATCCATCCATCCATCGGCCTACATATATACAATAATACAAATACAGAGAAGCACAAGTGATGTTGAAAATAAGAATTATGCAATGAAACAATGTAATAATAACACACACACACACACACACACACACACACACACACACACACACACACACACACACACACACCACTCAAGACCCGATATAACCCTCTTCCTGTTCCTTTA